GTCTCCTTATCTCAATGGCAGACGAGGTAAAAGACAAATGATGTGCATGTCCAATATGCGATCCTAACATATAAACGGCCCGGTTCATCCCAGAAGATGTTAAAAAAGCTTAACTATGTCCTTCTGTTTGCCAAATACTATATTTATGACAGTAAGCTTAGTTCAAAACAAGGATGCTTGAACAAATTTACCAGGAAACTGGAATTCAAGTATCGTTTAGAAGGACTTTAAGTCAACATACAAGTGTAATTATGCCTCGAAATGTACAGAAAAGGGAATTGTAAGTTAAGGAAAAAAACGTTTTATGATCTGCACAGTATTCGCTGTAAAAAAAGTAATAATAGCTTATTTTCACCGACTAGATGTCGCATGTATGTAAAGCAGTATAACGTAGTTTAATGTAGTCTATTTTAAATGTAGTGTAAGTTGTGTAAAGTAGTGTAATTTGGTTAAGTAGATTATATTGTAATATAGTGCTATGTGTTTGAAATAAAGTGTAAAAAAAATAATAATGAACAGCGAGGATATTATATTTTTTACTCCAAAAAGATTAATGAAGGGGAGGAGACTAATTGAGGAGGTGATTACTTCAAATTAGGATGCAAAATGATTGCTTTTTAGAAGCTCCCTGGAAATATTGGGTGGGAGGAGGGTTTTCTTAGAAAAATCGGGTGGGGGTGCGAGGTCTGCTTCCCAAAACCCTTACCTTTTTATGGCCAAAATCAATGATTTTTTATGACCAAAATGGCTGAAAAACCATACCTTTTGTGGCCGTACATACCTATATAGCCCATATAAGGGAGTATCACCCCACTGCACCCCACCCCCCCAGGATATCAGGTGACTATGTGAAACTATCTGAAGCCCGTTTTACAAAATGGTTTCATTTGAACTTATCAAATCACAGTTTGTTTCCCTTTTCAGTAAATCACTCTTAACTTGATAAGGAAGAGTTGAAAGGTAAGGGATGGGATGACTTGCAATTAATTGATTAACCAAGGAGTGATTATTTTGATATTCTTGCAACATGTGATGATAACTGCAGTGCCCTTCTGCAACATAAACAATAATTTAAAGACAAATCGAAGTAAATCAGAAGTACATGACTTGACATTAAAAATGCATTTTGACAATATGATGCAGACCTCTCTAAATTTTTAACTAAATAACTGTAAAGGTACTGAAAGAACCATGAGAAATTTAGACTGAATGCCACTACCACATAACTTGCATATAAATCTTGTCAATGACGATACATTACTGAGCATAGAAATGCTGGAACAGTACTTTCTAGATGCAATATATTCCCCGTGTATCAAAAGATACCAAACTAAACTGGAAAATGGTACCAGCACCGAAGATGGAGGCCTTGACAAGAGGGAAGGTAAGGTAAGTTTTGCCTTTAAATAATTATCGTTAACCTTTTAAATGTCTTTGAAAGGACATTTCATGTTATAGCAGCACCTAAAAAGGCGTAATATTTGTTGGTCACCTTGCATTGGTAATGGCAATGTGTTTACAACATGGCTGTGAAATGTGCAAGAGTATAGCACAGTTCATGTATACAAGGATATACAAGGACTTTTTCATAACATAGTTTCTGGAATATGGTAAATTTTTCACCAACACTTGATAGTTATGTCCCTAAAGAACATTTGCACCACTGAATAATGATGTTGTTGTCACCTTTAGTTTTTTTNTAATTGATTAACCAAGGAGTGATTATTTTGATGTTCTCGCAACATGTGAAGATAATTGCAGTGCCCTTCTGCAACATGAACAATAATTTAAAGACAAATTGAAGTAAATCAGAAGTACATGACTTGACATTAAAAGTGTATTTTGACAATATGATGCAGACCTCTCTAAATTTTCAACTAAATAACTGTAAAGGTACTGAAAAAAACATGAGAAGTTTAGACTGAATGCCACTACCAGTTAACTTGCAGATAAATCTTGTCAATGATGATACGTAAGTGAGCATAGAGATGGTGGAACACTAATTTCTAGATGTAATATATTCCCTGTGTATCAAAAGATACCAAACTAAACTGGAAAATGGTACCAGCACCAAAGATGGAGGCCTTGACAAGAGGGAAGGTAAGGTAAATTTTGCCTTTAAATAATTATCGTTAACCTTTCAAATGTCTTTGAAAGAACATTTCATGTTATAGCAGCACCTAAAAAGGCGTAATATTTGTTGGTCACCTTGCATTGGTAATGGCAATGTGTTTACAACATGGCTGTGAAATGTGCAAGAGTATAGCACAGTTCATGTATACAAGGATATACAAGGACTTTTTCATAACATAGTTTCTGGAATATGGTAAATTTTTCACCAACACTTGATAGTTATGTCCCTAAAGAACATTTGCACCACTGAATAATGATGTTGTTGTCACCTTTAGTTTTTTTTAATTATTATCGTAAAAAATAATAAAGCTATGCTATAAATGCCCAACAAAATTACATAAAATTCCAGCCCATATTTTGTAGTTTGAGAGAAAAATAACAGTTTAAGTTAAAAACCAACCTCAACAACTAAAATTTACCATTAAATTTTTTTTTTGGTTTTAGCTGTTGACTTATATAAACCCCAGCATCACATTACTCTTAAGACACCTGATCAAGGGGAAAAGAAATGCAATAGACTGGCAGTGGCATTGGGTCCCTTCTTGGCAAAGCCGAGCAACCATGGCCTGGACACTGGCACCCCAAGACCGAATCAAACAAGATATAAAGAACCATGGTCTTGGGGTAAACACAAAAGCCAAGCAGGTATTCAATGTCAACAGTGATGGTGCTACCATTTCCAGGTCCAAGGAGGCAAAGGATATGACGGTTTTTAGAGACTGTGTCTTCATTAAAAGACGTGCATTCAGACCAGAAGCATGGGAGGAGTTTGCCACATGTAATTACTACTCAGTACTTTTTCTTGATCCAGGTAGTCGTCGCACATGACAAAATGCTTGCCAAATCAGAATTTACAAACCAAAAAACTATCAGGGAACTACTAAACCTGATTTCAGTTTATGGTAATAACATACTAAGCTTAGTGATGATTCCAGTGTGAAAATGTAAAATAATTGAAAATCTTGAATACTCTTTGCCATCTATTTCCACAGATTTTGGATTGATTCATACAAAATCACAAGATACTCGGCCATCACTACCAGTTGCAGTGCCCTCACCACCAGCTGCAGTACTATCAACACCAGCTGCAGTGTTGTCAACACCAGCTGCCGTAAAATCGCCACCAGCTGCAGTGCTATCTCCACCAGCTTCAGTGTTGTTGCCACCAGCTGTAGTAACATCCTCACCAGCTGCAGTACAATTGCCACTAGCTGCAGTGCCATCATCACCAGCTGCAGTGCAGTCTCCACCAGCTGCAGTGCTATTGTGACAGGTTGCAGTGCTGTCATCACCAGCTGCAGTGCCATCTACCACAGCTGAAGTACCTCTGAGTCATACCAACAAAAAACACAACATTATATGTTTAAGTAAGTTAATAAATTAGACCAGAAGATATCATTGTTTGATCAATAATAAATATAATTCTGGGCAATATATCAGCATGAAACGATTTGCATACATACCAAAATGCTACCTGAAATATATATCACCATTTTTAGATATTAATGCATTAGACCCATTTTGATTTACTCAGTGGAATGTGGTCCCATAAATGAAGATGATTTATCAAGAACTTTAAATGAAAGGTCAAAGACAAGAACTGTCAATGCGAAACCAAAAAAGACAAAAAATTCAGGTATTTACTAATTTAATTAAATAATATTTTTAATATACCTAGAAAGGAAATGGTCCCACAACCTCCTGTCCTTCTAGCAGGCTTTAAACAAAATAGGCTTTTTATAGTGTAACTACTAGAAGTGGGCCACTTTGAGAAGGGTTGCACAAGCAGAAAGTTACTTAACAACAAGACAGTGATCTTTTTCACCAATAAACCAATAACAATGAAAAGAAATTAAAAAAATAAAAATGACCAAATTGAATACCCAAACAAAGTGCATAGTGTTGCTAACCTCTCAGGAAAATACTATTTGTTGATTGGTTAATTTCCTTCCTAAATTTTATATGCATTACAAGTTGTGGTTTTGGTTAGTTGTCACAGGATGAGTAGCTTTAAGCTAAGTTATTTGAGCGAGATTAATAAGTATGATGATTTGCTATCAGGAACTGAATCTCTTAGAGTGTATACAATGCAAGGGAGTTGATAGTGTTTAGGCTGTCTTATCAAACAGCACGTTACTTGCGGGCATGAAGCTACCAATCCATTCTCAGTTTACATTATGATAGGTTAGTTTTATTCTATGTGGCCCAATTTGAGTAGTTGCACTGTAATTGGATAACTAAAATTCCTGACCAAAGTGATTTAGTCTGTTTAGCATCTGTATAAGATATTAATAATATTAATCCAGTGATTTGATTTTGATTACCACCAGTGGAACCTGATGCAGAAGAATAACCACATCTGTAAATGGTAAAGCAAGGTCACCAAACAACAACATAGAACCAAATTCAAGAAAACGAACATCATCAGGTATTTAGAACTCACGATTAATTGAAGAACTTAAAGTACCTCTTCATGTACTGCAATCCCAGCA